GACGATGACGATGACGATGACGATGACGATGACGATGACGATGACGATGACGATGACGATGACGATGACGATGACGATGATGATGATGATGATGATGATGATGATGATGATGATGATGATGATGGTTCAGTTGCAGGCCTCGTTCAAACAAAGTGATTTGCTTGTTTGCTGACTGTTACAGGTAAGGACAAACTCAATGTAAACTCTTTGGGGAGGATCGAACTTCTCAACTCGGATTTGCGCCATGGCCTTCACTCACCCACGGTGTGCCGGTGCCAACAAAACACCACGGCCCCGAAAAACAGCAGCTAAACCGTAATGAGGCCAAATACCAAACACCGCGAAGCCCGCCAGCAACAACACACCAAATTCCTCAAAAATGGTTGGGCCTTTTTCTGTGGCCGTGGGCCTAGCCCCGCCCCCGGAAACTTGCTGAAGACTTTGGCCAGGTTCCAGTCTCGCTCCCAAACCCGTCGAAAGAAAGTGAACGTCACTCTGCAGGAGCGGCCGCTTCTGCTCACCTCGGAGCTGCGCAGCGCAGATCATCATCTATACAAGCCGAATAGGAGGAATCTTAGCCATACTGATACTCCAGGGCTCCAAGTACCTTCTGAGTTGTTTGAGGTGGGTGCCAGGAGGGTCCAGTCATACATTCTGAGGAGGTACGACTGGATCCCTAGGGATAGGCTTTCTACCCTGCGGCCCTACTTGTTGCAGTATTCTGCATGAAGGTGAGACTATAACGGCTTTGCTTCACGCACCGGGAGGGGCGAGCAACTCCGCAAAGCATGTGGATACCCTCAGTACCCTTTGCAATGCGATGTTCATCGATTCTGCGACGGACCAGGTGCGGATGTGTGCCTTCCCCTTCGTGAACAATCAGATCGCCACCGAGCCGCAGGTCAACCCACAACCAACAATCCCTGTTTCAGGCTGACGCTGCTCACGCCAAGTGGCAAAGGTTCCGGATGGGTGGCAATTTCTGCCCAAGCTGAGGATTGAATGCTCCGAAGGTCAATTCAACTTCTTTTGGAAGATCCGGATGACTTTCAGGATCGACCAAGGAAAAGCGGAGTTTCATTTGGCGGCACCAATGCCGCACCTTCCATTCACTTCCCAAGACAGAGAAGAGTTTCTTCGCGACGTCCTGGGTCTTGTGAAAGTGCCGAGAAAATTGCGTCAACACATCCAGGCTGGGTCGCAGTTCCTGAAAGTCCTTCAGGCTCAGTAGCCCTTGGGTTTTGCGTGGGTCTCTTCCATGAAACAAGATGCATCCCAACCGCACGGTCACCTTAGCTCTGCTGTGAGGAGAAGATCTACCCAATCAAAACCGTCATGAGATGACATGCAGTACTGGCCTTCCATTTGCACCCCAATTATATATACAATGAAAGACAATTTTTCCAAAAAAAGACAACTACAGTGATTTCAGAGTGGATGACACAAACGCCAAGTGTCTTTTAGATGGGGTCCAAGGTGAACCACTCACATTGGGGCTTTGTGCCATCTACCCTGTATCCACTATCACTGACGCGAGTCTAGGTGGCTTTCGAGACTTCTCGTGACGCATCCTCCGGATCGACTTCTCGGATCATGTCCATCACAGAAGTGCAATCTTCTCCGACGCGAATCCTTCGGCGGTCGCTGTCGCGACCATGGAAGCGAGAAACAGTGCTGTCGCGATTGCTTGTCCCGCTTTGCAAAGCACAAGGCTCGAAGTATGGCCGAGATGGAAAGGGTGCGAAGGTGCAAAGGCACTTTTGCATGTTGGTCTTCACAAAGGTCAAGGATTTCAGCTGGTCCACCTCGTTGCGAAGGTCAGCGGTCAAAGGAAAGACTTGGTGTTCACCCAACTTGCGGGAGAATCCCACGATCTGACACAGGATTTCGTGGTTCATCAGCCGAGTGAGTATATGGTCATTTCTCGAATTTTCTCGAGAAACCAAAAAGATGCGTCGTGAGTCGTGAAGGGTACCCATTTCACGTTGGTTCGGCTGCTGGTCGCCATGTCCCACAGAGCGTCACAGAGCGCGCATGGTAAAAGGGTAAGTCATGGAGGGAAGATCCCAAAGGCAAATGTCACGTGAACATGAAAGACACTGGCCCGAGCTTGCTTGGGAGACATCCATGGTGTTTTGGAAGGTTCAAGGTAGGATTTCATCCATCTAGAGTTGGAACGATTCGCGCCCTGTACATTTCAGGAAGCTGGTTTGTCCGGTAAGTTTCTGCTCGTGAAAGAGGATGGAACCAAAATTGCCAGGAATGCAACACACCACACCATCAATTCTTGTATTTTAACAACAGAATCACCAACCCCTGCCTTCCAGTTACCTCTCAATGAACAAAAGGCAGGGAATCCCGGACGTGAAACTATCTTGCAAAGAACGGCAACGCTCGAACACTTTTGCACTCCCAAGCCACAGGGTGGGCAAGGACCAAGTGAAGTGTCTTCCTGCCAGGTGGTTCTCTCCCCCTTCCCTGCTCATGGCGGAGTTCCGCCTTCTCGACCTTGGATTTGCTGTAATGACAAATCTTCCCGCCATCTGATCCACCCACAGCAAAAAGCAAACACATCACCTGATCAAAACCAGGTGACCTCATGAACAATTCGTTCAAGTGCCCCATCTGTTGCCTTGGCTTCGGTATGCGCCGGCGTAATAACGTCCTTGCTACTAGCTTCGTGTTACGTTCGTAGCGATGGCCTCCAATCTAGCTTCTTGGATCAATGGATTTGCTGTCCATCCGAGAAAAAGTACCAAGTGATTCACTGATGCTTTGGGGGCCCTTCACCCGGTTCCACCGGGAAAAGAAAACATATCCACCAGACCTCCGCCAAGTACAGGGATCCCACCCGACCTCTGGAGGGAACGGAAAGAGGAGCAACGAATGTGTAGCACCCTTAGAGACCTCTCAAAAGGCCAGCACAGAATGTGTAGCAGAACAAAAGATCTCATATTTGGATCGAAACAACATCATTAAAGAAACTTTTGGGCGAAAGAGGGCAAGTTACTGTTGCCACGATAAAGGCCTCTTTGGGGATGCGTCCTTGAAACTGTCCATCTGCGTAGTTGGTACGAGTATCGATGGCATCCACGCCTGGCAACTGCCTCAAGCGGTTGAGATTCTCCTGGTTGCGCCCCACCCAACCGCGACAAGCTCCAGGATTGATGGATATGCCTATTGTGCGATTGGCTGCTTCAGCAACGCTTCGCTGCCACTCTGGCTGATGTTGGCAATCATGCGCGTGCCAGGTCGGAGACAAAGATCCCACGCGATACCAAGCATCCCAAGCCCACACCCTCGCTTGATGCCCTCGCCCTCGTCCGCGGCCTTTTCGTCCACCCCCATAGCAAGCGGCGGTGGTGAAGGTGTATTTGGAGCTGTTTGAATAGCCTGGGAACTCTTGCTGACACTGTAGGCGGCCATGACATTCAGGACAAACGGCTTGGCAGGTCTCGCAAAGAGGGATGAAATTAATTATACAAGCATCTTCTTCACCTGGGATCCCCCCGGAACGGACATCATGCGGAACGGATGGCGAAAGATCAAAGATCGGCTTGGGCGCCCATGTTTCTTCTTTTTGGTTCGTGTAGTAAAAAAGGGGCCGTATATACCTTGCAAAAGCCAGACTTCTGATGTCCTTAGAGACAAAATCCTTGTGCTATTGTTGACCCTGAGAGTCCAGTCATGACTCATTTCTCCCCCATGGTAGTAGTGGATGGATTGACTACCAGGTGGAGTCAAATGAACCATTGGAAGTTCTGGGTGAAGAAAAAAAAAGTCTAAAACTGCTTTGAAGTCTGATGCTAAACAAAACCGCAGGAAGGATGCGTATTCTATAGAAGCTACAACTCTTTTGAGCTACAAACCAGGCCACAAGTAGCTTTCCACCTCGCAGATCTTGCACAAGTCTGGTGCCAGTAACAATCCTGGTGGCAGTAGCTCCAAGTGGTGGAGCTACTTGCATCACTCATTGCTTTTGGCTGAAGTGCGAGAACAGCGAGATGTGACACTTTCGCATCTCATGAGCATCATAACATGAATCATAACTCATGACTCTCAAAGAATGTCACTAAATGTTGGACAATGGTTCTTTTTTCAGTGCTGAGTTTGGCTTCGCATGGAGCTGCTTGTTTGAGAAGAACTTTCAGTCCATGCTGCATCTGGTTGCATATGTTTGCCCGTCATCCTGATAGACGTGCGCTTGTGGCCAATGCAGCCAGGCACGTCTTTAAGCCAAAATCATGTTCGACTGAATGCCTTCCCACGGCAGTCGGGTTGTCACAAGCCATGGCAGTCATCCCCCTTTCCAATGCTCTGCAGAACGAGCAATGTTTTGAATAGCTGGGAACAGGCAAGATCATAGGACACAAATGGTTTCCTAGACCTTCAAGCAAGGCAAGTGTAGATGCAAGTGGTGTTTCAAGAAAGTCAGATTCCTTGAATGCACTGGGCAGGAGATGATACGAAATGGCGACAGCACGCCAAAGACTGCGCAAATTCTGAGCACGGATTGTTCTCAAAGCCTCCCTGTCGAGGCAAATCCTACTCTAGGACAACTCCCAATATACACAAACCACACCTATTTCCAAGTTGCTCATGAAGATGTACTACCCTGCCCACACACGTACCAAATCTCGATGACCTGTTTGGGTAAATCGACTATGATGTCCCTTCTTTGATCGCTTTTTCATTGGCTGCCCCTCTTGGTCACCAAGGACTCCACAAGGACAGAAACAAAACCCCAAACAAGCACGTCTCCCTCCCCCGCCGCTGGATCGGAGTGCTCTCCTTTTGTTTCGGCGGCGGAACCGCGTGCGGCGGAGCAGTTCCGGAGAAGGCACCTTCCGTGGCAGCTCGGTGCGGTGCAGGAAGCTGGCCAAGCTGCAAAGATCAAAATGATCGGCACCCAGAGCCACCAAGAAGCCGCCGACCTGAGGACGTCGATGGGCGAAGCTTGGTCGGAGGCCCCATACACCGCGTCTGGGTGTCGGATAGACGGAGGGGGTGTGGGGGCGTAGCGTTCGGCACCGAAACGTGGTACGTCGTGTGCCTCGTTCGATGATGAGAATAGCTCGAGAGAACAACGTCCATGAGCCTTGCTGCACAGCGTGCACAGCGTAGTCCATGTGTCTGGGTGACAATTCTGAAAAGAATGGAGCTGGGTTTCAAACATGGCCATTTCAAAAACAGTAGGTTGAAGACCATCGCTCTTAGGTTGGAGGCCATCGCCTCATTCGCATGAAATCACCTGGTGCAGAGCTTCATAAGAGTTCATGGAGGGTCCAACGGCCTCTCCATGCCTACGAGTGCTACGGCCTCTCCATGTTCACTGGAGAAACCAGGCCACCAAAGCAGCTTGCTCTGTATCCACCCACGAGCTGACACTACGTGACGTATGGACACTTAGACAATGGCACAGAGAAACACTCTTTTCACCCTGCGGGGTTCTGGTTTTGAACATGGGCCTGCTCAAGGTCACATGGTGAACTTCAAGCGGGTGACCTGAGTGACCTGGTATGGTCACACCACCAACCAACCCAAATATGGTGCAACTTCCTATCAACACAGGGGTCATATGGGCTCTAGGCTCGAGGTATATATTATTGTAATATATGGTAATACTATATAATTGTATATTATATTATCTTCACAGTGCACAATAAGTAAGGACTTTCTTAGATCCTCTCAAACGCGGATGCATGTTTCCAGGGTCGTGTAAATGCGATATACGAATATACGACTTAAAGGCTCCGTCCCAAAGATTCGGGACTCCGAGCCCCAGTCATTTCACCTGCTATGCGAGCCCCCCGCGAACTCTCTGGTAGCTTGTATCTGTACACTCCAAAGTCGTCCAAAAAACAGCCACCAAACCGATGTGGTGAGTGAAACCGTCCCCGCCCCGTTCTCCGTTTCTTCTCGTTCTTGGTCTGCTTCTGACCGCGGAGACGAGGTGCCGTCCAGGCGCTGGGCTTTTGCAAGTCGCCCAGGAAGTGATGCCTCACAGCGAGGAAAAGCGGTGGGCGGCGGGCAGGTAGGAGCCCAGTGGTTCTGGGGGGCAGGTAGGGCGGCAGGGACACACTGGCGCCTGCCTTGCCGAAATCATCGCTGTCGACATATGCAAGGACGACAGACTTCAGCAGGGGCGGAACGCAACTCTTTCGCAGCTGCACTGCGGTTTCTCAGCTTGCTTTATAGAATCTGTTCGCAAAGCCAAGCCGTTGCTTAGATGAAACCTTGTGTCAAGCAAGCAAACATCATGGTGTCTTGTTCCAACTACGCGAGTGCTTGTATGCTGTACGTCCGCGTTTACTCAGCTCTTTTCGAACGGAACACAAAGATCCTTCTTGTCTGACCTGTCAGGCTTCGAGTTCATGGAGTATTCCTATATCTCTTTGGTGGCACAGAATTAGTCTAAGCGATCCAGAAGAGTCCTCGTTGTTCCAGTGTTCTTGACGCGGTTCTCTGGAGCCGGTGTTTTTCTGAATGTACCAAGAGGAGCCTAGGAGTTGTTCTTTTGTTCCCCAGAGACTGACAACTCACCAAGACCTTCCTATCTAATCTATCTTCATCTCAAGATGGCTGACCAGAACATCTTCTACTGAACAACAGCTCACTGGTGTGACCGACACAAAATGGCCCTTGGGCAGCATGGTGCGACCGGTTGGAAACTTCACCCAGGGTGCGGTGGATTGGTCTCTTGCTAATTAGTAGAGAAGCTTGCACCAAACTGTTCAGAGAAGCCCGTTCGCCTTCTGTCCAATGTCGAAACTTGTCGAGCTGGTTTCGTCGTCTAAAAGCCAAAAAGTAACACCCGTCAGAGCAATGGCCTCCAACCTACAGTAGCGATGGCCAACTGATGTCTCTGATTCAAAGCAGTAAATCCGGTCGACCCGACTCCCAGACTTCTTCTCCCAGGTGCAGCTGCACCGCCAGCCGCCGAAGCTGCCGCAGCTGCAAACAGTTCATGGGCGACAAACGGGCCTGGACAGTCCCGCGAGGTCCCGCTGAAAAAGTCTGCACGCTGGAGCTGCTACTGTCGATCTGTACTGCAAGGATATTCATAGATAGACTCAAGCATACTAAGCAGCTAACTAGTGCAGAACTCCTCCTTTTGGAAGAGTTTTTGTATTTTCTGGGGACATGAAATATGGGCATATGTTTACACGTACAATAGAAACAGCTGTGCCAGAAGCTTGCTGGAGTTTCTGCCACCAAGCCCCGTACTCCGTACTCCGCCGATCGTGCGAGCTCGGCTGCCTCGTAGCAGCTGGCATAGGTCTCCAGGTCCTCGACCACTGCCTTTGCCTTGGAAATGGCTGTGATCGAAGGACCTATTCATCTAAGGACCTACCACTGCTTTGGAAATGGCTCTCCAGAAAGTATGTGTACACTGCTGCGACAGATCTGTGGTTGGAAGTGAGGAAACACCTGGTGGTGAAGGAGGTTTTTCGGCGGTGTTTTGGTCTGTTTCAGATCGGAGACTGATGTGTAGAACGCAGTAGTAACAATTAAGCTACTAGTAACAAGTGCCACGCTAGTAGTAACAGGTGCCTTACTAGTAGTAACAAGAAGCTATTAGTAACAATTAAGCGTGGCCTGACCTAGCCTGACCCGACCGGTTGACCAGAGGTCTGTCGAACTGGATCAAGTCGTTGAACCCCCGGGATCTCCGAAACTGTCTGGTGGTCCCCGAGATCATTTCTTGGACTCTGCAGGCGAGCATACCAAGCCAGCCGTCACATCAATGCCAGACGTCAAAGTAGTCATAAAGCGATGGGTTTGATGAAGGCTCTTGCCCCCGCGGCAGAAATACCTCCTATCTTTCGAACCATCCTCTCGCACACGCTTTCTGATGCACCGTCGGCATAAAGCTTGATAAACTCCCCCATGGCCTGATGAACTGCCCACTGGGACCAGGCCTGTTGCAGCTGCAAGCACACTGAATTCGCATCGCCGATGGCCTGACTAGTGTAAGGTGTCGATGGATGGCGATGAATGGCGGTTCATCAACTCGACCCAGATGCAACCCGTTCGGGCCCGAATACATGGAAGGGTCGGACCCGAATCCTCTGGAGGGGTCTGGGGTCACAAATCCCAAACCACAAAGCTGGCCATGGCACCGACTGGGTGCATCTAGGTGGGCTCATCCGTATGTCCGACGTGTCATGCGGGAGGCCTGCTGTCTCGGAGTCTCGGAAGGGGTGAACAACATAGAAGAACTTCTTTATATATAGTATCCAAATGGCAAAGTACCCCTTAGGGTAATTCGAAAGTTGTCTGTTTAGGGATCTGATTCTCCGTACTGACAAGACTATGCACGCTGTTCCCCATTATGTGTACTGAGGCAGCCCCACGAAGCACAGGTTCGCCCGTCGCAAGCTCCTTCACCTTGAAGCTACTGGTCACAAGGACGCTATGCTCGGTGGAGCATTGCGTTTGTAGGCCATCGCTACGAACGGAGCAAGAAGCTACTAGTGAAAACGAGGCTGCCATGAACGCGTTTGATGTCTAGGCTGAAGGTCATCCCAATGAAGCAACTAAAGTTCAACAAAATCAGGGACTGGTCGTCGTCCCCAACTTCAATTCGGCCAACGTGGCCAAAAGCACTGTGCCCACTGTGTTTGAGCTATGCTCGGTGCAAGGATGCTGGCAACTTCTGGGAGCTGCGGCTTCGCTTCACCCAAAGTGGGTGAGTGTTTTCAGCCACTCATTCTCATTGCACCGGTTCGGCTCCCGATCCGGACTTCCATACAAAGCACAGCACACCTCCTGCCCGCGCTCTGGCGCGGCTGGCCGCACGGGCACAGCCGGCACAGCCGGCGCAGCGTGGAGCTCACGAAGCTTCCAAAGTGGAATGGTGAACCAATAGAACCAAAGGGGCTTCCATTGCGAACCAGCTCCCGAACCAGCTCCGAGCTTGCTTCCAATTGATTGGTCGGAGCTCTTCGCCGCACTTCTGACTGATGGCTGACCGCTCACATCGGAGGAGTGGGTGGGTGGGGACTGACTATGGAGGAAGCAAAGCTGTGGTGTCAAAGGCGTTGGACAAAGTCTCACCTCTGGAGCGGCTCACACACCAGAGCTCAAGCACACTGCTGCCGCTACCGTAACCGAGTTTCCTGCAGGAACATCTTCATTCTCAACTAGCTGCCAGGGTGCCATGGTTTACAATAGCTTTCTTGAGCACGTCCGGCTCAGGCTGCTCAGGTGTCGTTCACTTTCCAAGAGATACAGTAGATAGATAGATCGTTTTGTTTGCGCCAGAGCTCCTGTAGACTCAAGATCTGCTGGAGCATGTCCGCTGGCGCGAAGCTGAGCTCCGGAGCTGCGCCGAGGTACGGAACGGACGACGAGGTCGGAGTCGAAGAAAGGCGCGGAGGACGAACAAAAGAAGAGGGCACGGATGTATGACACGCAAGCAGCATACAGCCCACGGGTGGGCGGAAAGAAGATGGGCTTAAGCAGCATATGGATCCATGCACGGTACTTGAACAAAAACCAGTGGATCCAATTCCAGGTTCGCGGCAAGTTGTGGCGTTCTGGACTCAGGGCCTACGCCGGGCACGGCCGGTCCCCTGCAGGCTGCCCCATTGCGGGGCGAAGATCAAGGACACTCCGCACGTCTGGTTTCGTGCATGGCACGCCCTGTTCGTCCAAGGACGACGGTCCTCTTTCTTTCACGTAATTATTCATGCACTCTCCCACGTCACCATGTCGATGTGTTACTCCCGACGTCGGCTCTTCGTCCCGTCGGCCGTTCGTGGCCGTTCGTGGCCGTTCGGCCAAACTCGTTGGATGGCACAACTGGTGAACGCGAGGTCTTCGCCGTTTGAGGGCTTGAATGGGCTTGATGCAAGAGCTAAACGCCAAGTCGGAAGATCCTAAGACCGCGAGCGACGCCAGCTGAGGAGCAACTTCTTCAACATTCTTTCGCTGATGCATTTAAACACCACGACCATCCTGTCGGGGTGTCGTGGCTGGACTACCCCACACTACCTATAGGCTTCCAGACAGGGCACCCCGACAGGATGGTCCGGGCATGACAATCCTTTGATCAAATGGACTGTTCCAAAGCACCTGAAGATCCTTCGACTCCCTGTCGACAGGGAAGAGAGAGAGAGAGCTTGTCGACCCCAAAAAAAGAGATTTCGGCATGGTGACCGATAGCATGCCAAGCATTTCATCTACTAGGAGTGTGGGCGCCATGGACCGTTGGGGTTTCGTTTTGAGGCAGTCTTGGGAGCCTGCGGAGAGCCTGCTTTCCTGCAGGATAAGATAATGTGAGGAAGATATTTGATCCTGGTCAAGTGCTGCTGCTCTTTGCAACATCAAGTTTTTCCAGTTGGAGGCAGGAGCTGCAACATCGCAATACACCTTGAGTCAACTGGCTATATTTTTCTCAGACCAAACGACCGTTTGTTGTTTACACCCTTCCTTCCTGGCACTGGCACTATATCACGCGAGGTGTACAGCTTATGTAATTCCTGTTGAGACTTACCTCCTGGAATGATACTCCTTTAAGCTTCCCTAGCAGGTGGTTGGATGCCTTTGTCTCAGCACTTGAACGCAGGCCATTCATTTGAGAATTCAAACAATGGGATCTTCAGTCTGAAATGCTTCATTTTGCCAAAAGAAAATTAAGACCTGTTTGGCAACTTTAATACTAATACTTTCTGAAGATTCTACTCTGTACTTAGGACAACCCCCATGTACCCGAGTCTATGATTGGGCTGGCTGAGGCGTGTGGATGATCCTAAGGTTGGCTGTCGGGATACGAAGGTCATTGACCCTCGGCATCGCGTCGTTGCGCCACGCCGACAGTCTGGTCGCCCACCGGACTCCATCGGTCTGAATCCCAAACGAACAATGGGTTTACCGACATTTAGACGACCAAAACATCAAGTCAACCATTCTGTTCACGGTCGTTGGAGAAAGGCTGGCTGGTTGGCGATCGGCGATCGGCGAGGGCTAGGGGTACTGGTTTCCAAGGGCTCGGTGACCAACGCACCGAAAAAACACCCAACCAAAAACGAGGAACCGGTCGTCCAGTTTGGCCCCTTGGCATCAATCCGTCCGAACGGCTCCTCACATCCATCCGAACGGTAGGCCAAACAAACACGTCTCCCTTGTTGTTGGTTGGGGTGATCACTGGCACCTGTCAAAAAGGGCCTTCCGGAACTCCTCCGACCTCAAGGCCAAACGAATTTTGGAGGTCTCAAGATGGAAGGAAGATAGCTATCACACCTGAGTAGTGCTATCTGACCACGTGCTTGAAAACACACGTGCTGGGCGTCACTGACCCGAAAAAGGAAGAAGCTCTCTTCTCCACCCGGGTTCATTCCTTCTCTTCCAACTGGCCTTACTACTAGGAGCAAGAAGCTACTAGTAACAAGGGCATCGCTACTAGGAGCAAGAAGCTACTAAGGGGAAGCTACTAGGGGCTCCAACTCTCAACTGGAGTTGGATCAGATCAGCCCTCCCTCACCTCCAACAAGTTGTGAGCTTCGTCGAAGATGAGAACATTCCCCTGGCGCAAAAAAGGACCAACCACAAACACATGTGCCACATGCATGTCGTTCATCTTTCACTCTCTCTCTCTCTCTCCCATTTATAGAATGAATATTAGCAATCTTAAATTCACCAAACCGCCATGGCATAGCGTTGGAACCCTCGACACGGAGAAACGGTGAGACCCTGCAAGTCGACCTCTTCATAAGCCATCCATCCATCCATCCATCCATCAAACTTCCTGGAGCGGCGGAACTTTGCTGGATTCTTTAAGTTCCCTCTTGAACCGGCGAAGAATTTTTCTTGCTCCTCGCTTGGTCTACCCACTGGTCACCAGCCATCTCTGGTCTTTCTTGATTCTGAATCAGTACCTGGCCCAAGTACCCTTCACCAAGCATAAGCAATACCATAGAATACTCTTAACCAAGCATCAGCAAGCTAAAGAAACATTGCTTGAAAAAGGTGGAGCCATGATGGTCACCCCAATCCACCGAACCCACCGAACAGCCTCAGTCCGCAGGTTCAGCTTTTCCCGAGTTTCCTTGTTCACCAGTGACTGGTAGGGCACCAACAAGACATCCGCCTGAGGGTCTTGACAGAGCGTGAATGCACCGTCCCATGCTTTTGGAGAGAATATGCACAGGAATCCTTTTTTCCACAAATCACAGGTTTGCTGTTTGAACCGTGACCACACGCAGTATTGTCATCATAACTGATTTTGGGATTGTCCCAAATTCCATCTACTGCCAGAGATGCAATCCCCATTTACTTGTTAAAACCGCTTACTGCTTACTGCTTTATACGTAGAAACAAGAAACATTATACGTTTCCACCAAAGCCCATTTGACATCATTTGACCACTGTTTTGCTTAGGAAGTTTGACCATATTATGGTTGGTGATACAAAATAGAGGTCACTCAAGTTCTACAGGTAAGTGAGCTGTTGAGTGCGACAATGTACAAGTAATTGCCGATGTTGTTACACAAAGTGTGACACAAAGTGTCCAGTCCTCCCAAAGATCACTACAGAAGCATGGTCCAAGTACAAAGTAACTGTTGTACGGAAACAGCTTGCGCATACACAAAGCCGGGCGGTACATTGGACACTTCGCCGATTGCCAAAGGTCTCCAGCTCCAGTTCTGCCTTCTCAAAGAACTCTCTGTTGAACATGAAACGTGTCAGTCGTAGAGCAACTTTGAACAGGAATATGCGAACTTCGAGGAAGCCCTTCTCCACTTCCATATGGACATACGACTGACGGACCACCAAGACCCCACCAAGACCAACGCTAGTCAGCTTGCTCATCGTGTCTAGGCTAACCACTGATCCAAACTACCTCCTCACGAATTTCCTTGGGGATCTCCAGAACACCCAGCTCTGGGATGGTCCAGGTGGTTTCCTGTTAGGTGCACTTCTTCACCTCTTTGGGCCATTTGATTGACTTGCCCTGCATAAATCGAGGTTTAGCCATTTGATGGTGCTCCTTCTTGAAACCTTCCGGTTTCGAGACAACCACGCGAGAAAACCTTCCGCTCCGGCTCTCCACGCCCACCTGACGTTCCGACGTTCCGACGACCCGACGAAGACCGGTGCTGAAGCCGCCGCCGCGAATCGGCCTCCTGCACGGCTCGACGGCCTCCATAGTATGGGCATCCTGAGACCGGCGAAACAACGACGAGTCGACCGTGGTTTCTGGCGTTTCCTTTTTCTCTTGGGCGTTCCCAGACCGCCGAGAGAAATGGGGATAACAGTCAGGGTCGACTCCACCAGGGCACAGTCTCTGGGGGAGGCTTTGATCGACTGTGACAGGCTTAGGCCGACAGACTGCCTTCATCTGTGCGGGGCGGTGGGCCAGTGCAAAGCTCACACATTAACTATGGAGCACTGCAGGTAGAAGTGCACCAGAATGCCATGAACAATAGTCCTAGTAGTACGGCAGGCCACAGTTGTACTGTGCTCAGGGTATCTCAGGGCAACATCTTGCTTCAGTTCCCAAGAGGAAATGAGCCATGAAGCCACCTGAACTGGACAACCCTCAGACATTGGCAGGGCCGGACCCCTCAAATGACCAGCTCAGAAAACGACCGCCATCACCACCTGAATCTACATCCTTTACAGCAAAATGCCCTTTGTACAACAACTCACACGTGGGCTGATTTTGGAACACCTCATGATAGTGTTTAACAGACTTGTGGTCAAAACCAGCACAGCAACTTCAATCACCTTTCTGTTTGGCCGACATGGATGAACACTGTGGTGATAGATGCCCTATGCTCCCAAAGGGGAGACTTCTCCACACCGAAATTCATCCCAAAGAGTGACCCGATCCCTCTCCAAACTAGCAAGCGAGCGGGTAACTCCGGTTGCTGGACGATGAACATCACCAAACGACCCAAAAAACCACAACCCCAAAGCGCGAGCAACGTCAACGGCCGGAATTCTTTCCATCAAACAATTCTATCTAAGAATCCGTATGGGCCTTTCTCCCTCTGGGGTCTGGAGACGAAACCCAAAACCGCTCCAAAGCTGAATGGTACTTTGGGCCCCGGGATTTGGAACAAACCACCATTTCTCGGCCTTCTCGCGCGAAAAAAATCCATCCAAGATTTCATAACAACTCTATTGATTCTTGAAACAACATGAAACTACTTATTCAACTGACTCCCGGCAACCGGCAACTTACTCACAGACTCACACCCGCTTACTCACGGAATTCCTTTCATCAAACATTTCCCTCTGATTCTTTGAAGACCAACATTCCTCCCACTTCACTCTAGTAGTAGCAAGAAGCTACGTTCGGGGCTCCTGGCCTTACTACTGCAAGAAGCTCCCCATCCAACCCCTCCTCCAACGGTTTCAGTCTCGGCCCGGCCTCCTCCCACGGGCGCCCGCCCTCGCTCGGTCATGCCCTGAACGGCGACGGCTGGGATCATTCGGAGGGACCCAGCTCGGGTAGACGAAGAAATGGGTCTGGCTTGGAGATATGGCAGTGGGTCATGGCACAGGGGACCTGTGTTTTTTCCCACCGAACATGAACAGATCCCTCTATGTTCCAGGTATGAACAGAACCCAAGGTGCCATAGGGATGAGGTGCCATGACCCACTGCCATATTCCCAATGACCAGGAAATGGAGGATGATCTTCTTGGGTTGCAGGACATCTCTCAATTTTTGAGGTCATCTTTGACCGACAGCTACTGGTAATGCGAAAAACACCCTAGGTTGGAATGTTTGGTGTTGAAAAACACATATATAGGTTGAATAGTGTGATGTGGACAAACCTTGTAAAGCAACCCTTTGTAAAAGTACATGAAGTAACAACCAGCAAAGCATCCAGTGTCCCAAACCCCGGCGCAATCAGATGTAAAGATTGACTTTTACAGGAATCAGGAAGACATTCCGTTCGTTCATGATGTAAGAACTAACGAGAAACAATTGCTCAGTGAGCCCCACTCGCAGAACTCGCCTCTCAATTTGGTTGACCGCTTGAAGCGAAACACACGTGTCCCATGCGACTTCCAAGCATTTCTAATTGGACCCTTAGAAGTATAGGCTTGAGTCTGACAGCTCATGTCGATTTGCTTAGCTAAGGAGCACGTACATTGCGTACAACATACCCGACATGTCACCGCTCCACTCTCCGCTCAGCGGCCAGGCACTCGGCCTCAATATCCATCATCTCGGATAGGAAGGCATCAGCCATGACCTCGAGTCTGGGCAGTCGACAGGCAGTCTGGGCCCTGCGACAGTTGCGAAATTCAACGACAGGTTCGTGCAATTGGTCTTGCATCATCGCACCCTAGCTGCTACCAACACCCGAATTTGGTCGATGTCTAGATGAATCACTGCTGAGTACCACATATTTCGACCCAACATCTTGCACCCAGCTTTGCAAGTTTTCTGTTGCCACTCTTGCCGCTCCTGTGAACATCGACGACCACCATTTGATCATGATTTTTAAACATTGGATTTGCAAGAGGTTGGAAGATGTGGGAAGCAACCCCATGGATATGTTTATAATGTTTTCTGAACCATGAGCAACACAACAGCTATATTTTTGTATATATATATATACCTGGACCATCCAATGGGTGTCCAATGGAGATCCCTAAGCAGTATAGGGTAGTCCTTTTGACACCCATCGGATGATCCTGGTATATAGCTGCACAAAGGAACACATAAAAATATTCAAATGCAAACAGCCAAAGAACAACCTTGTCGTATGCTCAAGCTCGAATTGGCTTTCAACTTTCATTTGCCGAATGGAATGCATCTGCACCCAGCCATGACCGACCAAGGTCACAAAACACACGATTCCTTTTCAGCCTCACATCTACCCATCACCTCTACCCCCCATCTGCACAGACTCACATGTCGTGCCGTCCCGGCACGTGTCGCAGGTCTCAGGTAGTACTGCCCTTGTTACTGGTAGCGATGCCCTTTAGTTACTAGCTTCTTGTTGCTCGTCATGCCAGGAGCGCCCCGTTCCTCGTCGCGTCCGCTGTTCCGCTTCCGCGTCCGCTTCGTCAGTATCTCAGGCGTCGCCTCAGCGGACTTCTTCCACTCGCAGCGCAGGCTGCGCGTCGCTCCTTCCTCCGTGGCCAGGCCTCGTGCGGGGAGCGTGGAGGAGCACTGGAGAGCAGTCAGGTGAGGAAGACATGGTGGGCAGATGCTTTTCATGAGGTCAGGAGAATGCTTTAGGTGAGAATCAAGCTTCCTGCGGACTTGGAGTTGGTGGAGGACATCTGAGAATTCTCAGGGTCCAAATTCTAGATGGGAAAGGCGATTGCTAGGCCTGGTTTCCCCTGGTGTTTTCTCACTCTTCAGGAAAAAGAACAACCATCAGTCTTCCCCAGTTAGTCTTCAACATCCAAAGTCTCAATGGTCTCCGGCAGCCTCAGCCTACTGCATGGCCCTTCTGAGCAGCCGACTGGCAGCCTACTGGGTGACCCAGCAAGAGCCAGCTTGTGACACTGGTGACACCTACTAAAATATAACATACCTCGGGTAACGACGCTGGGGTCCACTGTGCGTGGCGTCTGTCTTACTTCGGTTTTCTTCAGCAGCGCCTTCCTCTGGCACAGCTGTGCGCTGTGCCCCCGGGCGGCACAGGTCATTGAAGTGCCCCGCGCCCTTGGCGCGGCTGCGCACCACAGAGTGGATGCACAAGCTCTGCCGGGAGCCGAGGGTCACCACCTCGTCCGAAACGAGAGTCGGGTGGTCCGACCAGTGGTGGGACCACTCGAGTCCTTGAAGCCATGGTTTTGGACCGTCCCCGGTGATTTCGCCTGGGTTCTACTTGAAGCAATGATTCTGTTCGATGTCTGTTATCGTATAGCTCCTGGAGCAATCATGGGGAAGAATAACGTAATTCGTAAGTAAGTGACTTGAATTATCTCGCAAGTTCTCAGGCAATGCAGTAAAGTATTTCCATATAATTCACAGTCAGTGGGGTAGATTCATTCAGCTGAATTGGGCGCTCTAGGTGATCGGGAGAGGAGAGAAGCAGCCATTACGGCCCATGTGCCGCACGATCGGTTTTGCTGCGGGTTTTGCTGCGGTCCAAGCAAAAAGAACGCCTGCTATTTGATGCTATTTGCATCTGAATGATTTTCATTTCAGCAAAAACTGTTATGGGACGAGAACATGAGCTACGGACTAGTGCTTGTAGTCATCATCCACACTTCCACCCTAAATTGATCTAAATTGACCTCTTATTTTGAGAAACTCTTCCACCCACATGACCTATCCACAGCCTATCCAGCGAGGGATTCGAGACTTTCATTAAGCAACTGCACAGCCCTTGCCAAGCAGGCTAGAGTAGCTGTCAGTCTGTCAGTAGCCCGGTGAATGCTATTTCACGCCGAGGCTAGACGATGCCACTCTTCGTGTTTGCACCAGCATCATGTCCCACAGAGGGCAGCGCACAGCTGCAACCACACAAAGCAAGGCCAGGAGCATCGCAAAGGCACGTGGCGGTCTGCCATACACATACACTTTTTCTTGGATGACCATGAAATCCTCTACATGGTGAACTCCACCTGCATCATCAATGTCTTCGGCATCCAACTTCCACAGAAAACTCTTAACGTTGACATATGTTGATCAATCCCATGGTTTTTTGCAATGTTTTATAGATCTCCAAATGGAGTTTTCTTTTTTTCAACAGTCGACATGGCGATGTTTGGCCGAGAGCTCATTAAACCCCCTGTTTTGATAGGAACAAACCATACTTTGGGTGGTGGGTGGTCACTCAGGTTGCAGGTGAGTGAATCTTTCTTAGCTCTGCGGCTCCAATCTCAGCTCTCTTTTCCCCCACTCCGATCTGCAGCAAAGGGCACTGCCAGGTTTTCAGGCACGGCCGAGGATGGAATTCCCCGGATCTCACGCAGGACCTGTGCCTCGCGATGGAAGAACGCGCGCGACGCGGGTCAACGGCGGAAGCCGCAGGTCGTCGGCTCGGCCCCAAAGAGACGGGCGGTCGAGCTCGGCCCCTTCAGGGGCCTGGTTTGGCACAACACATCGAACCTGGTCGGAAGAGGTCAATGGCGGATGAAAGCGGTGTTTCACGGTTGTTTGTTTCTGCGTGCAACTTGGCACCATATCCCTAGTCAAGGGGGTCCATGAACCACCTGAACTGGGTGGGCGCTGCTGGTGGAGTCGTTTGGATTCCTGATCAAAAGTGATTTGGGATGCTAGATTCGGAGGTGCATTGATGGTGATCTTCCAGGCACTGGGTCGTGGCGTTGCGAACTCCAAAAACCATAGCTCCGGATTGATGATGCGGTTTTCAGTATGAAGTTTTTTCGCGTTGCACATGTGGTGCACATGAAAGTCATACGACCCACACTTGAAAAGTGGAGACCCACACGTGGAGCGCTCGGTGTCGACGTCGACATCGAGCTGACGCAGCGCTTGGCGAATTCGCACCGCTTCGGCTGAAGGCACGAACCGGGGAGGAGGGTACCGCGAGGAGAGAGGAAACGAAAGGGAAGGAGAAGGGAAGCAACGTACCGAAAACAAGGCCGTAAATAGAGAAACCATGGTACATGTGCGACGCTGTTTGCATGGTCGGATCGTCTCGTCCGTGGGTGTCTCTGAGTTGCCCGGACCAGTTGCGAATGCGTGCGACTGCAGAAGATGATCTGAAGCTTCTCAGCAAAAAGGTCCTGAGAAGCGAGTTTGATCGACTTTCGAAAGTTTCTGCTCTTTCTTGGATCGAACTCTTAAGAGGGTAACAAGAAGCTATTGGGAGCAAGGGCATCGCTACTAGTAACAAAGGGCATTACTACTAGTAGCATTCTTACTACTAGTAGCAAGAAACTATAGAAGCAAAAGGAATCTAGGTGTTTCCGTCTGGAAAGTACCTTCAATGGTTAGCTGACCAACCAAGCGTACCGACCAGCTGGCCTCCTGTGCCTTCTCAGGCACTTTGACCGTCTCCAGCTGCAACGGGGCCTACGGAAGGTTGCTACAGTGCGGTTGATCACCACATGGAGCTGCGAAACCGGGTGCCAACGTGTGCAAAAGAGTTACGCATGTTGTGCCACCTGCACGAACAACTGATAGTGCCTATGTATTTTCAGGTGTTTCTAGGATGTCAGGTGCAGGTTTCTTCCTTCAGTGGCATGGATCTTCATCCCAGCGGCCTTTTTAGTGTGTCCCCCACCACTGCAAAAAACAATACACATTATACAAATAAACCGGTAAACCCTCAAAAACTCTTAAAACAAAGAACGCCGTTAAACCAGGTGAATAACAATCCTAAAATGTTTCGCGCATGAAATTTTCCCCCAATGTGTGGGGTTCTTGTTTTCTATATCTGCATTCCGTTCCTCGTCCTCCTCGTCCTCGTCCTCCTCCGCCACTACATCACTCTGACCACATGAGCTCTCACCACATCAATTCTCACCACCTCACCTCTCACCACATCACCTCTCACCACATCACCTCTCAACATCACCTCTCACCACATCAATATATGTATCTATGTATCTATGTCCCTATGTATGGCATGTATGTATGTATGTATGTATGTATGTTGGTACGTGCGTACGTACGTACAAATGTATATATGTATGTATGTATGTATGTATGTATGTATGTATGTATGTATGTATGTATG